TTTTTCTAATGACTTTTTTCAGGCAGTTTTTGTCAATGATCCAAAGCTCTCAGATATGAAGAATCTATTGGCTGCTAAAGGTTTTCATCCAGAATTCAGTTCTGGTGTTCTGTATGTAAATAATGTGGTGAGTATCCGAAGGAATGAGGCTGGCCGCTTTCATGTTGAAGGCTGTGCTTCGGAGGATTATTACAAAATTCGTGATATTGTTTACGCTCAGTTTGCTATTGTGTGACTAATTCTGAAGGCGGAATTGCTTACTCTTTTACTGCATTGAGAGTAAAATTTGATTTCTTTTCCATGCCAAAACCTCGCCATTTCCAGCTCCAGAATTTTTGTCTCAAAATACTTCCAACATAATCTTTTTGCCTGAATTGTAGCCTTTGGTTGGAAAGAATATTGGTACCAAAGCGGGAATGATGAGGCTGTTTTAAGAATTACTTTACTGCATTTTTTATTGTGATCTCTGTTTCGAAGCACAACTGCTTTCCAATTCTTTTAAATGCTAGGGTGGTATTTGGATGGGAACGAAGTAATCACACTCGCTTTATTTGGTCATTGGATGGTTGATTTTCACTACCTTTCTAGCATAGATATGGTACTTTCCCAAATTAGTTCTTCAGAAGTAGCTTTTTTATCTTGTTGTTTCTGGTATATAGACTTTTCGGTGCTGTGTCTGTGTCTTCAATTACGAGGCAGATTCGCTTGAAATGTTGCGTGCAAAATCCGTTGGAAAATCTGAAATAAATTGCTGCCTAATACTTAACAAGTGAGGCTGGCTCGATGCTGATCTGTACATTGGTTGTTTGTGCCTCATCTACGTTTTGTACGCCGGGTCAAAGCGTATCGCAGTTTGAAGGAAATAGTATTTGCGTAATAAATTGTGGTAGATCGGAAATGTGTACTTTGTAGTATTTGCGTAATAAATTGTGGTAGATCAGAAATGTATATTTTTAGGCGCAAAATGATAAATTGATAGAGTAGTGGGTGCGTGTTCGACGAACATTTGGCGTCTAACATTAAGAGCGACGGAGCAAATGATGTTGAGCAAGCGTGTTGCGGCTTGACTGCAGCAGTGGGAGAACGAGAAATTATCACTACTACAGAATTTATGTAATCGAAAAAGTTGAGTTGGTTTTACGAACACTGTTACTGTTATTTTGTTTTTAAAGACAAAAGAAGATATGGTCTGCAAAAGTAAATCACAAATCACATTGAGAATTACATTGAACATCGATGGCAAAGTCCAATTTATGACGTTATTTACTTTGCACTAAAATTTCAGTAACTTCAAATTAGACACTTTAATAACTTTTACATATCCAACTTCTTTTAATGTGCAATAGTCACTGCATTGTCTGCATTTTTTTTTCATTGTTCAGTTCCACTTCTTTTCCTTTCTTCAGCTTTTGAGTCCAGTTTACTTCAAGGCGGTTCGAGCCTTTTTTTTGTTCACCATATAACATTCTTTGTCATATCCTGTCAACTTTTTTGCGGCATTTTAGTGGGAAATTACAAAACATTATCTTTTCTGTGGTTTTTGTATAACGAGCAAAACTCGCAGAGGTTTTGAAAGTTTTTTGTAATTTGCGTTTTTAACAATTTTTTTGTTTTTCTCTGTTCCAATATGGTCACAAAGTATTTATCTCGTTTTCTCACACTATGCTGCCATCAGATCCAGCAACTGAATCTTATATTATTTTGGCTGTTTAGAGACGCCACTAATATTTGGAAAAAAAAGTACGCCTTTAGCGACTTGTGGGTTACATCAGAATGTCAGTCATACACTTATCAGGAACAACTTTAGGGTTATTTACAAAAGAATATTTACAACAGTGAAGGTTTTGATCTCAGTATACTTCAGATAATTCACCCATACCATTCTTATACGCTGGCAGTCAACAGTAACGCTGAAAAGGTACAAACATACGTTGTAATAATGCAGAAATAATGTTTTATTGAGCGATTCCAGATATCAACACATTACCGAGAAAAGAAAAGCTCGACATTGAGACAGAAACCGCTGTTTAATTTCTCCTTCGTCAGTCAAATTTTTAAACAGTTTGAAAGAAATACCTAATAGAAGACATACCCATGTAGTACCTCTGACAGTTAACAGTGGAGTCATAGAAGCATTAACCGAGAAGCATTTAAAAGGCTTTTAAAAGTTGTAAACTACTAAAACGAAACTTTTTTTGTGATTCAGTTAGAAGAAAAAGGAAATTTACTACAAAAAAAAAAAAAAAAAAAAGAATCTGAATGTCAGCAAATTTCCTAAGTTTCGCGGCACAGTCGAAGAAAGAATGAAATAACAGATTTTGGATCACTGATTTCGGCTCGCATTTCCCAGAATTCTGACCACCCCTATCATTCCTCTCGCTCGAGCCAAATTGAGGGGTGTTTTCTAAAAATATTTAGCAACACTTAAAACACAAAAAAGAAGAAAATAGAAGTTTTTCAAAAGTTTACACTGTAAATTTTTTGCGTCTTCGAACTTATTATTTCTTTCTTTCTTTCGGTTTCTTAGTTTTTATAAAACAAAAAACTGTAATTTTTACTCATTTTACGAAAATCTCCAACGTATTTTTTGACTCGGCAATAGCTCCTTAATTATTACATTATTCTTATAATTTCTTCTATAAAATTTTTTAAGAAATCTCAGACCTTTTCGACGTTTTTGTGGTACTCTTCCACTCTTAAAATTTCATTTTTTCAGACTTTATTCAAGTTCAGTGACTTCTTTTTGTATTTTCACTGAAAGTAACAACATACAAAAGAAGCTTTTTCCATACTCCAATCTTCTTCTTTGGAGCCCACTTACCCTCCAAACTTAGGGTAGTTTTCTGAGAGTACTAAAATTTTTTCTTTACATCTTTTTTTACAGTTGCATATTTTGTTTCACTTTACAAACAGTTTATTTCTCTCTGTTCTTCAAAACAAAATTTTGCTTTCTCTTTTTCTTTTTTCTCAGTTTCTGACTCCGAACTTTCCTCAATTTTTCTGTCAGTTTTAATCTAACAAAGCAGAAAATTTTTAATTACTGTTTGAAACCGAAACACAAAATATAAAAAAAAAAAAAGAAAAAGGTGCTCTTTACAGCTGAATAGAAAATTATAACTTCATAAAAAAAAAAGGGGAAAAGTCAAAGCACTAAATATATTTATTTGTTAATCAGAAAAAGATTTGTGACAAAATCTGCCATTTTCTACTAAAATAAAAATAAAAAGTAAAATTATTCACACATAAAAAGATTAATACAAAAAGTAGGAAATTTTCTCGAGAAAATTTCTGAAAATTGTAAAGCCAACAAAACGAGAAAAACGCATTTTTACAATGTAAAACAAAAAAATATATATGTATAAAAAGCTTTTGTTAAAAACAAAAAAAAAACGTTTTTTTTTAGCATCGAAATATACTTTTTAAAAAATAAAAAAACTTCAAAGGTAACTGCGGTAAAATAATTTCAGTCAACCCTCACATTGTACGAATCCCTCGCAGCGATGTCGGCTCCGTTTTGGAGCAAAACTTTCACAACGTCCACAAATCCGTAAAACGATGCACAGTGTAAAGGAGTCTACTGAATTAAAAGAATAAAACTTTTTGTTAAGAAAAGAAAAGTGTGAATAAACATTTTTGAAGTTTGCACAAATGTTCAGAATTCAGAAAACTTTATTGCTGCAGCAGATTCGTATTTCAGTAACACTGTTGAAAAAGTAACAAACCTAAAATATTCTATTTTTTT